ACTCGAATATATTCTCTCATCAATAATGACTATAATATCCCCTAATATTACAAAACAAGCATTCATCCGGATTTATGCAAATTCTGAATGGCATATGGAATACTTTTTTTAAATATTATTTTATGTCAAGATATGGAATCCGATTGATCAACAATACCCTTATTTTAGCTTAACAACAACTTGTTCTCCAAGGATTCGATTCTTTTTGTTTTGGTTAGAGGTTGAGTAACCTCTGATTTTATTTAGGACGCTGTTTGAAACGAGAATGTCAGTCTACTTCCCTATAACGTTGTATTTATTTCGAGTTCATAAATAAATATATGGAGTATATATATAGTTGTACACGTATACAAGTCAACACAGGCATAGTTGTTTCTATAACACGCAATAATTGAATTTCAGAATGATACCTCACCCATTTTTGTCCTTTTCATTTCAAATCTAAGAAGAAGAAGAAAAAGGGAGCAATGTGGCAGTAATGCCAGCTTTCACTTAACACTTCCTTACCAAGCAAACTTCAACCGACGAACTCATGATTTTTTTACCTCAATTTGCATTTCATTCCTTCCTTTGCTTTGTGTTTTATTTCTATCATTACCTGCTTCTGCATTTCCCTTTCAAGAAATGAGGTCCTTGAGAAGGACACTTGCTTTCAGTGTCTTTCCTTCTTGCTTTCAGTGTCTTTAATAAGGCTAGGTTCCCAGCTCAGTTTTCTCCACTGCGTTGTCGGTTGTCGGTGGCCGTGTGAATAAGACCAAAATGCCATTGCAACTTCACCACTACTAAAATAAGACCACAAGGTTATTTTAGTACTTTCACTCCTAAAATACCTTCATTTATATATTCCTCCTCCTATTCATTAATGGGTTATGAAATAAATGCACTCACTCCAAACAAATCCCACTAGCCGTTAAGTTAATTAATTAATTATATGAAAACGGAAACTATGTCACCCATCATTGTATGTTAATCTAACGGTTCAAAAAAATTTCTTAAAATGAGTGCAAGAATGAGTGAATCGTTGAATTTACATCCAACGGTGAGTGACCACAAATCTCTTGGACCCTTGTAAAATCTAAGGTTTTTTAGGTTTTAGACATAAAAAAAATTTCACTTTTGGAAAAAACCAAAACTTTTTTAAAAAAAACAAAAAAACCACTCAATTTTCAAATCAAAGACATGCAAATGTATTGGATTCCTTAGGAAATCTAAAAATAAATAAGGGCATTTTTGTCCATTTTTGCTTCTTTTAAAATTTTTCTCTCTCCTTTTGCTTTTTCCAAAATGTCCCTGTAATCTAAGAGATCGGATATATATATTGATTTGATATTAATGCTAATAATGAATAGTCAAAATGTATTATGCACCCAATCTTGTCCTCGTTCAACCTTCACAAACGTTATCATTGAAAGTAGCCAGCCAAGCTAGTTAAGCCAAGCCAGTCAGCCGAGTACCGGTTAGGGTTGGTGAAAGACCAGCAGTAGCCGGTAATACCTACGGCCCAAGTACTAGATATTCTCTCTTACCAAACTCCGGAATTATCTCATCCCTGGATTCGCTCACATCCAACGGCTGAAACTTTTTTATGCTTTTAAGCTACCTTTCGCAACCGTTAGATGGTTGATGACAATCCGAAACGGACGATCCCGGTAAACCGGTTTGGTGAGATTGGATCTATAAATAGCGGATAAGAGGAAATTAAGGCTCCAAAAAGACGTTTGTAGTCGTTTAAGTTCCGCTTTCTCTGCGTAGGGGTCTGGTTCGAAAAGCACAGCCTCCTTCTTCCCTCCAACTTCTTAAGAGTTTCAGATCTGCGCTTCAGAGGTACCATTTTCGCGCTCTTTCCTATTGAATTTTTGCTTTTCATGTCTTTGTGTTTTGTGGGTTCACTATAATGCATGCAGATCTGGTGGTTTATATGGTTTTGGTTTGGAAATATGAGAGATCTTAGAGGCTTGCTGTCGTTTTTGTTATCATTTGCTCTCGGTTGCTTGTGACCGACAAGTCAAATTGAAGTCGTAGAATTTTATGTAGTAAATTTTGCAGATCTGGTGACCTCTTCATTTCATTTGCTTGTAATCTACAGATTTTGGGTATTTGATTTTCATTGTGTTGCTTATTTAATGAGTACTATTACGTATTCTGAAGATTTGTTTGAGACTGGTGTCATTATCAGAACAACCCTGTTTAATGGTTGATATTTTTCCCAAACAAATCCCTTTTTCTTGAAGATGACCATGATGTTCTAGTTCACTCAATTATTAGGATGTCAATCTGTTTTAGGGATGTAGATTCTATTCAGCCTTATGTCTGATCTGATGTTATTCTTTAGGGATGTGGTTGTTCTTTGTTTGTTCACTCTGTATTTGCTTTTCTGGGAATAATACTTTTGTAAAAGTATAATTGATATGTTTGCCACCAATTTCAAACTTTTTATGACATTTATTCTTTCACTTTGTTGGAGCTATTGACTTTTCTTTGTTGCATAAAGTATACTACGGTGGGTACCCTGCTTAGCTTGATATTAAGATGTCTTGTTATGCTATTGTGATGTGTAGAGAATGGAGACTTTCCTATTCACATCTGAATCCGTGAACGAGGGTCACCCCGACAAGCTGTGCGACCAGATCTCTGATGCAGTGCTCGATGCCTGCCTTGCCCAGGACGCTGACAGCAAGGTTGCCTGCGAGACATGCACCAAAACCAACATGGTCATGGTATTTGGAGAGATCACCACCAAGGCCAACGTTGATTATGAGAAGATTGTTCGTGAAACTTGCCGCAACATTGGATTTGTTTCTGATGATGTAGGTCTTGATGCTGATAACTGCAAGGTCCTGGTTAACATTGAGCAGCAGAGCCCGGATATTGCCCAGGGTGTCCATGGTCACTTCACCAAGAAACCTGAGGAGATTGGTGCTGGTGACCAGGGTCACATGTTTGGTTATGCCACTGATGAAACCCCTGAATTGATGCCCCTTAGCCATGTGCTCGCCACCAAGCTTGGTGCTCGCCTCACTGAGGTTAGGAAGAATGGTACCTGCCCCTGGTTGAGACCTGATGGCAAGACCCAAGTGACTGTTGAGTACTACAATGAAAATGGAGCTATGGTTCCAGTGCGTGTCCACACTGTCCTCATCTCCACCCAGCATGATGAGACTGTCACAAACGATGAGATTGCTGCTGACCTCAAGGAGCATGTTATTAAGCCTGTTGTCCCAGAGAAGTACCTTGATGAGAAGACAATCTTCCACCTTAACCCCTCAGGCCGCTTTGTGATTGGTGGCCCTCACGGTGATGCAGGTCTCACTGGACGCAAGATCATCATTGACACTTATGGCGGTTGGGGAGCCCATGGTGGTGGTGCTTTCTCTGGAAAGGACCCTACCAAGGTGGATAGGAGTGGTGCTTACATTGTCAGGCAGGCTGCCAAGAGCATTGTAGCAAATGGGCTTGCTCGCAGGGCCCTTGTGCAGGTCTCTTATGCCATTGGTGTGCCTGAGCCATTGTCGGTCTTCGTCGAGACATACGGAACTGGAAAGATTCCAGACAAGGAGATCCTTAAAATCGTGAAGGAGACCTTCGATTTCAGGCCTGGAATGATCACCATTAACCTGGACCTCAAGAGGGGTGGCGGCGGAAGGTTTTTGAAGACGGCTGCCTATGGACACTTTGGAAGGGATGACCCCGACTTCACCTGGGAGGTTGTGAAGCCCCTCAAGTGGGAGAAGCCTCAGTCTTGAGCTTGAGATTGAACAAGTCATGTCCCTGCTGTTGGAAGGCTTTGCATTAATTGGCACTGGATGAATAATTCGTGTGTTTACTTGCTGCTGCAGCTCTACACTCTAAAACAAATTTCTAATGTTCTAATTTCATACTTTTGAAGGTCCCTTTTTCTATTATTTGTTTTTGGTTTATCTTCTTATTTCATTTTTCTGTAATATGTTGTCTTCATCACCAGTGTCTCTACTCTATAATGAAAGAGAATTTTGTTCAAATTGATGGCACTCTTATTATATCCACCAGCAGGGCAGTTTAGCTATCCAATTCCGAACTAACTCAAAATTAAATTTCATGCTCATACATTATACATTGATGAAGCGGACTTGTAATATGAAGTTCACAGAAAGAAAATAAACGAGTTGTTGCTTTGCTCTCTCTCTCTCTCTCTCTCTTTTCTATTTGAGCTTACAATTTGCCCTTGTCGGCCATAACACCCTCTTAGGGTTCCCCCACATAGCATTTACGTGTTTATGGGTTGGCTAGAGATTTAATTGGATGTTGAGATCAAATGGGGAATGATCAAAGTAGATCATTACAAGATTTTATTTTATTTTTACCATCATTCGAATGGCGGTAATTATGTTGGGACTTCTATTTGACTTTCGTAATTATGTTGGAGTTGGGATATTTCTGAAAAAATAGGACAGAATCAGAATGTATCTTATCTTGCAACTTTGAACATAAAATCAGTGTTACTTTTTTACTTGTCAAATACTTATTTTCCGAGGTTTAGATTTATTGTTTGTTTATTTTCACTTTATCTTTTTATTTCACTTTTTTCTTTTTTTATCAATCTATAAAAATACTATTAATAAAATACAAATTTATAAATAAACCTAATCCTAGACATGTATTTATAAAAAAATCCAAATACTATTTAAACATAGAAACACATCCAAAATCAACTCCAAAATCAACAATGGTATATTTTTTAGGTGTGTTTATAAATGGGTTTTGAGTGTGTGTAATGATGGGTTTTGGGTGTGTTTGGGTTTTTTTATAATTTTAGCCCCTATTTTGGATGTTTTAGTGAAACTCCCTAAAATAAAAGTCGAAAGGAAAGGCTCAATTACTATAGCGCAGACCATTCTAGGCCATTAAAATTGAGCCGTGGTTAATAAGCTGAGCTGAGTGAAAATGAACGGTTTAATTTAGTCCAAGTTGGGAGACCATGGATGCGTATAAAAAGGTTGACCAGGAGGAGAGGAGTCTGGACTGGTAGATTAATAATTTAATATTATTACTGAAAATGCAAATTAGAGTTTAGACAAGAGTCAATAATCGTCAAAATAACAACTAGAAAAAGATTTACAGCAGCAAACAAACAAAGCAACCGATGAAGATGATCCTCTCGTCTCACACTGCATACTCACAACCGCCAACAGCTGCCATACATCACATCACATTAAGCAATTAATTATATATAATTAAGGAGAATGAGAACGACGAAGAAGAAGCCAAAATGAAAGATTAAAACGTACGTACATACATGGGTTCTGAAAAACGACTAAGCCAGTGCCATTAAAGTGGCAGTCCCAAGGGTGCTTCCCAGTGGCCTTGTAAAAGAGGTTCATGGCAACTGAAGCATGCGAGACTGCATTGTCTGGCCTGAAGCAACTGCCACCTGGCTGAATGGCCCTACAGTCAATTCCTGCTTGCCCGCAGCTATAATCAATATTCTGGTAAAGCTTTTCAACATCTGCCGATGGCTTAGCTATGCACCATGTAGCTCTAGCTGCTGTCCCACTGTTTCCGACATCCTACATGTACAATATTCAAATTTCATTCCACATGTTACAATATAAAACAAACAAACACATCTCTCTTACAAGCGATGGTTTAAATTATTCTAATGTACGGGAAGACGAATTCGAAGGGGCGAGCTCACTGCCCTACTACGTCTCTTCAAATCTCTTTTAAAAATATTAAATTGCACCAACACCTTTTATTACCTGATCATCTTGAGTAGCAAAGTTCCTCGACTCTGCAAGGTGAAAGGCAACCCAGAGTTAGAGGTGTACAAGTAATTCCTGCAAGTGACAATGTGCTTGCATGCATTGACCGAGGCAGAGAGAGCAAAGCAGCGCAGATAATATTACAAATAAAAAGTAGTAATTAATTTTGAATTGTGCACCTGTGCAAGCAGCAAAGCAAAGAAGAAGAGCTAAAGCCCATTGTGACTCTGAGCAATGCCAAAGGCTCCATTTTATTTTATGTCTCTCTCTCTCAAATATCAAGTCACACAGAAATGAAGAGAAGAGAAGAGAAGCTTATATTTTCATGAGGTTGAAGGGGGCCAACAAATTTGTCATAATGATATGTACGGTTATACATGCAGTGCAGGGCAATAGTGAAAAAGAAGAGTCTGGTGGACTGGGATTTGGTGGAAAAGTAGGCAAAATTGAATAGTTTATTTATTTATTCAAGGAATAATGGACATGTGGATGCCTGCTAATTTGGTTTTGTTGCATGCAGTCCATTTGTCATGCATGCGTCCATTTTCTGATTTCCTGATTTCCAATGCTCACGCACTGCCCTTTGCATCTCTATACCACAATGTACAAGCATTATATCTGGTTAATTTCAATTTCTGGTGTGTAACTTTTATGCTAGAAGAAAAAACACACGCATAGAATTATACCATATGGTATGGCATGTTAAGATTGTATATCGATGAATCTATGGGTCACAATTAAGTGATCACGGACACTGTCCTTCAAATTAATGGTCTGTAAATACTGCACAACTTAGTAGGTGTGAAGTTTTATCACAATAAACCTTGTCAATGTTGAAACAATTCACTTCTTCTTGTACATGTATTTTATTTTATGACAAATATTAAGTGGCATCTTAAAGATCAACGAACAGCAAGAAGGGTGAAGCCCAAAGAACAACCAAAGATACAATGCACAGCCCAATGTGTAGGAAAGACAAAAGGTTACTCCACATTACAAACCAAAGAACAACATAAGAGAACGAATGTTCAACAACCATAAAATCATGTATAAACTTCATTTTTCCTTCTAGAAAATCATGTATGGTACCAAAATTTGTATACAACTGAAAATTACATTGATTATGATTACATGAGCAAAATACATAGCATTCTTTTGATACAAATATACTAAAATTAAAAGGTTTGTAGTTCAAGTGATTTCAATTAAGTATATGCAATGACCACCAATGAATAATAACCAATAACAATATGTACCAAAGGTTCGAAAAGAAAATGAGGGTGATCAAGCCACGTGTGCAGAAAGCGCTTCCATAATCCAAAAAACTAGTAGAGTTTACACTTAAACCCGTTCCCAAGCCACAACACGCCACGGAGGAATATCAAATTTATCGGCGTTTCCACAATGAATCAAATCCATGAAAAGAAAAAGAGAGAAAGTCGTGACGAATTGACATTTATGAGAATTAACCATTTACGTTACGGGGAGACAAATTCTATCACGTGATGCGATGAGAGCCTAGCTGTGCACCCCAAAGATCTTGAACGAATCAACATCGACCACGTCAGTATGGGTTGCGCTCCAACGCGCCACTCTTTCTAGGGGGGGAAGCGGAGCGAAGTAGTCAAAGGGTCACATTCTCAGTCTGTCTTCTTCTGTAGCTGAGTCAAGTCTGGCCAACACCCAAAAAAAAAAAATTTCAAAAAAAAAATCCCAAAATATTAAAACGCGATCAAAATGTCACCTTCCCTAAATACATACATAATTGTGAAATTTGTAATACAATTTACAATCGCTTTTTCGGTATCCTTATCCTACGCACCGCACTTCCTTCCCCGCCTACCCTGCGCTGCGCTTCCCTCGCCGGCTTTGGAGCTCAGATCTCTCCCTCCCTCAGACACCCACTGACTGACACACCCACCCAATACTCTTGTAATTACTTTACAAGCATCCACTTAGCTTTTCCCTCTCTTTCAGGTACGCTCACTCTCTCTCTCTGACGATCTGTGTCTTCGCTTTACTTTTTTTATTTTGTTTTGGTTGATCTCCATGTTTGATCACATACTAGATAGACAGTCAGATAGATAGATAGATAGATAGATGGATAGATAGGGTTTTAAATAAAATAATGGAAATGGGTTCTCAAGGTCAGCGACTATGAATTGTTCAGTCATTGGTATTACTTTTTAGTAACTGGATTATTAATTCCTCAATTTTGCATTTCTACAATCCACCTTGCCATTTGCTCTCTTCGTTTCGTTTGCATTTTATGCTTTGCTGGTTTTAAATTTCAATCTCTTCATGTCAATCATAGTAGCAGTTTTTATTTAATTCACTAAAAAGGATCTTTTTCTTTTTTGTGGTTGTGTGTGTGTGTGTGTAAAGAATCATGAGCTGCTTCGGCTGTTGTGAAGATGATGATATGCATAACGCGACTGACCATGGAGGTCCATACATGGTCAAAAACCCAGCAGGTAATCTACTGTGCTATGCTATAGTCGAGTCGACCTGTTGTTGTGTTGCATGATTGCATCTAGGTTGATATATTTCAACTAACTATTATTTGATAGTTTCTTTTTTCCTTCAAATTTTGTTTCTTTTGCTTCATTTCTTCTTGTGTCTGTTTGTTTCTGTCACCGATTTCATCAATTCAACTGAGTCGAATTTCATCACACAGGAAATGAGGGAAGCCATCACGCCTCAGGAACTGCACCTAGGGGTGCTCAAGCTGTAAAGGTCCAGCCTATTGAAGTTCCTACTATACCAATAGATGAACTGAAGGAAATTACCGATGGCTTTGGGACAAGTGCTTTGATTGGAGAGGGTTCATATGGAAGAGTATACTATGGCGTACTCAAAAGTGGGCAGCATGCAGCAATTAAGAAGTTAGATGCCAGCAAACAACCTGATGACGAATTTCTGGCGCAGGTTTAGACAAGAGAATCTGTTGATTGTTATTGTTATTGCCATATTCAAACGAATTAATTAAAATTCATTCCTAACTTGATGAATAACTGATCCAGGTTTCTATGGTGTCAAGGCTGAAACATGACAATTTTGTTCAATTGCTTGGTTATTGTGTTGATGGGAGTTCACGTGTTCTTGCCTATGAGTTTGCATCAAATGGATCTCTTCATGATATTCTACATGGTATGTGAGAGTAAGATCAAGGTGAAAGCTTAATGATAGGATTGAGATTGATGTGTCTTGCTGCATAATCTTGTTTGATGCATTTTTTTATGTGACGAAATTAACTATGTTGTTTTGCATTATCTAAACTTCATTCTCGTTAAAACAGTTTCTTGCAGTTAGACTGTACTACTCGAGATGAGAGCTGTTGTCTTTGCTGTTTCTGGAAAATATAGTGTTCAACCTGATTATTTTTCTAATGCAGGAAGGAAAGGTGTTAAAGGAGCACAACCTGGTCCAGTTTTGTCATGGGCACAGCGTGTTAAAATTGCCGTGGGTGCTGCAAAAGGGCTCGAGTATTTGCATGAAAAGGCTGACCCCCACATCATTCATCGCGACATCAAGTCTAGCAATGTGCTAATATTTGATGACGATGTCGCTAAGATTGCGGACTTTGATTTGTCCAATCAAGCTCCTGATAATGCAGCACGTCTTCACTCTACTCGTGTGCTAGGAACTTTTGGTTATCATGCCCCTGAGTAAGCTTTTAATTGGTTCTTCAACAATTGCATTTAGCAACTATGTTGTGCATTTGCTCTATTATAAACTTGAAATGAAACAATGCTCTTTTTTTTATTGTTGAGAATCCTTTGGTGAAGAAATTAAAACTTGTAATTTTACAATGACCAACCCCAATTCTAAAGGCGGTGTAATCAGTGTTTCATGTTTCTTTGGGAAGATTTAGATTTTTCTTCGTTTCTTTGTTTCCCAGTAATCAACCCGAGCATCAGTTTAATGTATTAATTATTCCTACTCAAAAAAGTTTTTACCAGAGTGTATGTCTTCCGCACTAATATATTCAGTAATTTTGTTTGTGGCTGTAGATATGCAATGACTGGACAGTTGAATGCCAAGAGTGATGTTTACAGTTTTGGTGTTGTTCTGCTTGAACTTTTGACTGGAAGAAAACCCGTTGATCATACATTACCAAGGGGACAGCAGAGTCTAGTAACATGGGTACTATATCTGTGCTCTTTATTCTATATTCATAGCACCTGCTATCTGTTTTTCGATTTGTAGACATGAGAATATGTTTCTTGTCAATCAAGCTGATTTTTAAAGTATTGGGATGTGTTAGGCTACACCAAAACTCAGTGAAGACAAAGTTAGGCAGTGCATTGATTCAAGACTAGGAGGAGAATACCCACCAAAGGCGGTTGCGAAGGTATTCACTGGATCATAATACATTCATATATGTTGTATGTACACATATCTACCTACATGCATATACACACAAACATGTAATTAATGGTAATTTCTTTTTGTATATGAACAAGGGTGAGGTGCTAAACTGGCATCTCTGTTATTTTTTCCCATGCATTTGTATATAGAGAGCATACCACATCATACCTACGACTGAAGACTGATGATGCGACCAAACATCTAAAACTGAAATGCTTTTGTGTCTTGATTATAGATGGCTGCAGTTGCTGCCTTGTGTGTGCAATATGAAGCTGATTTCCGCCCAAACATGAGCATTGTTGTCAAAGCTCTCCAACCCCTGTTAAACGCTCGGCAGCATGGACCCACAGGGGAAGTACCAAACTTGTGAAAATCTCTCTCTCTCTCTCTTTCTCTCTGTGTCTTCTTCCCCTCTGTCTCTGTCTATGCCTCTGAAGATGTGTCATGTGTGCATGTATGAGTAATTCAGCATGCAAATTGTAACAAGGGGATTGTTTTGAGGGTGGTGGTATATTGTTTGCACGGTGTTCTAAATGCTTCATTTTCATTTTCGAATAGAAATGTACTATATTGCTTCATTATTTGCGGTGTATTTGGTTTGTTCATAATGCAAGGGGCATTTTCTCCTAGTGACTGGACTGTTATTCTTCTTTGGATGCTTTGCTTAATCACGGTCCAATATTATTGAGAATTCAATTATTTCGGTTACATAAAAATTATTGACAAATTAGTGTTTGGTCAATAATTCAAAGCTTGATACTTTGACTAGATACAATTCATGGGTCCTATGCAAGAATTAGAATACACGTGGCCAGAGACTCAACATGTTATAACCTGTGCTACAACAACCAAGGAAACACAAAATAAAATGAACAAAAATTGTTAACAGAGTGATTGGATGGGTTGCTGCAAAACTGGTCGAGTTTGTTGTGGGGTGCAGTCGGAGTTTGCAAATGATAACAAGTAAACAAGTTCCTTCTATTTGGTTGACATATGTCCATTTACTTACTTAACCCCAAATCTAAAACTTAAATAAACATATTGTTGTTTGAAACTGAAAAAAAAAAACTTATATAAAAAAAATAAACCAAGAACCTAAAATCCAACAGCCACCCAAACTCCCCTGATAACCACCCCACAACGTTGGATATGCTCCGTTACCTACTTACTAATCTTGATTGCATCACCATTCAATTTGATGTCTGTAGCTAGTTTGGATGTGGGTTTTTGTCATTGGTTTTCTAGCAGAACGTGAAAGATGGTTTGTTCTTGAATACTATACAGTAATTAATATTTGTCCTTACAACGTTGGATTTTTTAATTTGTTGATAATTTATTCTTCAGCGTTTTAAAACTTGAGATTAAGTTTGATTCTTACTTCTCTGGTGAGGGAGAGAGGGGGAGACACAAAGAGAGATATGAGGCAATCGATCCTTGGCCTATGATGAGGAGTAGGTTGGGTTGCTGCCGGTGAGGTGGTTGTTGGGGTTGGGTTTGGTGTATGGGACTTCGGTTGTTGCGGCTATGGTGGTAGTGGCTGTTGGCTTTTTGCTTGTTGCGACTATGCAAAAAAAAAAAAAAAAATCATTAAAAACACGAAAAGAAATATCACACTGCTATTGACAGGAATGTAAAAACTCTTACTTACATAGTAAAAAAGAAAAACTTGGAGCTTTTTCTAATAAAAGTCATTCTATAAAGATGTCTTTATCTTGATGTCTAAGGAATAAAAAGTTGCGTGGTGGTGCATACTCGTTTTTCCTAGCTGCCATTCTATTTGTTTCTCCGCTTAATAGCTGATTAGATGAGACATACGTTTGACAATGTGTACCACTCCAATGGGCTCGCAGTTGGTGGGTCGGTGCACGTCAAAACCCATTCACTTGTCATTAACGCTGTTTTTTCTTTTTCGTTTTCTTTGTAACGTTATCTATCTACGCTTTAATAATTGATATTTCTCCGTGATGTGAGCGCATCAGTCGGTATAAACATTTCGCGGATTGAAACAAAATGCTTTTATCTTCCGTGGATACTAATTCCTTCTTTTTCGGTAAAGAGATACTCCTCATTTATGAAAATTAATTTATCGAAAAGAAATTTTTTTGTACGCTTGTTACATTATCGTTGGCAAGAATATACAAGTTTTTACTTACATGGTAAGAAATGAAGTATTTTCCTTTTATCTTGGTTGCTAAAGAAAGAAGAAGAAAGAAAAAAAAAGTAGGTTTGAACCTATTATTTAGAAGTTGAATAAATCAACAATTGATATGGGAAAAATAACATCAGACTTTGAGTCAACGACACAAGTAAATAGTTTTATTCCCTTAATCCTAACTTAGTTTTAGAAAAGAAAGAGAGTATTATTCTCTTTTTTATTGCTAGTGCCCTACTGACTTGCCTAGTGGTTAAGCAATCTCTAACCCCCCCTACCCCCGTATTTAAAGCTCAATTATTGGTGTTAATTATTTATTTATATAAATGGTAAAAAAAAGGTTGGCAATTGGGCAAATAGGGTTTGGGCCTGACGAGACGACGGTCATTGACCCCAAAAAGAAGAAAAAGAAGAAAAAGGAAAGTCTTGATCCAAACACAAAATCCACGTTAGAATTTGGGTCAAGCTGCCACCACCCAACCACTCTCAATAACGCAAAATTGAGGCTGTCGTTGCTGGAAAAAAAACTCCCCTTCATGACTTTAAAAAACAAAACTGAAAAGACAAAAATATTACCCCCTAACACACACTCCCGAAACGCAAGGGAGGGGGTAAAATAGGAACATGGATTATTCCCATCCCATGACCCATGAGTAGCGGTGGTAGTAAAAACATGGAACCTATTATATTAGGCAAGTAGGTAAGTAAGAATCAAGTAAAAAGAAAGGAATAAAGAAAAGACGGAGCAACGGCTGGACTCCAAACACTCCAACCCAAAAATCTCTATAGGGAGATACTACTTGAGAAGAAGAGATCAATCTCAAGAAGAGAGGAACCCAATCCAATCCATCAATCAAAACCATGGGATTTTGATTTTGATTTTGATTTTGAATTTTGAATTTTGGTGTTTTGAAGGGTTTTCAAGAATCGATCATCATCGCCGTCGTTCATAACTGAGCGGTGACCAGTCAGATCTCTAGTATTTGGAGAGCGCCAATGCGTGGGGATGTGAGCGGAAGTAACATGGCGGCGTCGACTATGGGTAAGGCGGAGACACAGTACGAGTACGCGAAGACGTCGGTGTGGTGGGACATAGAGAACTGCCAGGTCCCCAAGGTCTGCGACACCCACGCCATCGCCCAGAACATTAGTTCTGCTCTCGTCAAGATGAATTACTGTGGGCCCGTCTCCATCTCCGCCTACGGCGACACCAATCGCATCCCTGCTTCTGTTCAGCACGCGCTCTCCAGCACCGGCATCGCCCTCAACCACGTCCCCGCTGGTAAAAATAATTAATTTTTATTGTTTTTTGTTTACTTGTATTATTCTTTGTATTTTTGTGTTTGATCTTCACCGGGCCCTAAATTGGAACCCTAGTAAACAGATTTCCCCTACTGTTTTTTGTTATTGTTTTGCTTGGCCTGCTTATGTTTTTTAATTTTGCGATTAGTTCATATCAAGGGTTGATTTTCTTTTCTTTAATTTTTTAATTCGAATAATTATGTGATGAGTCCATTGACTCTAATTTGATGGTATGATTTAATTGTTTTTTTTATTTTTAAAAAGGCTTACTTTGATATTGATTTTAGTTAATCTTGACAACCGTTACTTTAAAGTAGCAAGTGAGTCAATATGGTGCTATTTTTGGGTAATTCATAAATTGATTCAGCAACTTCTTGTTTTGTTCATGCCTAAATTGTTCAACATGTTTTCCATCCCAGATTGATGATGTATCGCCTTATTTTCCTCCTCCTTTTTCTTTTTCTTCTGTTGTGATAATTGATGCTTGTAATTCGTTCTCTGTTTGCTTTGTCCCCTCAAACTCTGTATATTCTTTTCCTTCCCTATCATTATGATCTTCCTTGACAGCTCATGGTCTGAAACAGGTGTGAAAGATGCAAGTGACAAGAAGATTCTAGTTGATATGCTGTTCTGGGCAGTAGATAACCCTGCTCCAGCCAACTACCTGCTTATTTCTGGAGACAGGGATTTCTCCAATGCTCTACACCAGTTGCGCATGAGAAGATATAATATCCTTCTGGCACAACCACAAAAAGCTTCCGCACCCCTCATAGCTGCAGCAAAGAGTGTATGGCTTTGGACGAGCCTTTCAGCTGGAGGCCCCCCACTTTCAAGTGGGGAGTCATCTCAGCTTGCGAATGGTAACCATTCTTATAACCCTGAAATGCCGCAGTACTCGATGCCTGAAGCGTTCCAGATAAACCCGCCGCCAGTTTATTATGAACAGCCTTCTATGGGAAATCAAAAGAATTCTACCAATGGAAGGGTTGGTGATAGTAAAAATAAAGGGAAATCAAATCGGAAAAACCCAAATCAACCCAACATATCAAGAGCCTCAAGTGTGCCAGTTGGGAACCAAGACGACAAGAACAATGATTACCCTTACCAATCAGAACATACACATGCAAAGCAGTTTAAGAAAGCTCCACACGAATTCTTTGGTGTTAGTGAGAATCTAGTCTCCAGTAATAGGTCTACTCCCAATTTCTTCCCTGGAAATTCTGATCCTTCAGGCGGTAATGGCAATAATTTCCTAGGTCAGCAAAACCAATATACTCCTCCGAGGCCGAACAACTTCCACATGCAACCTAATGTTGGACTGGATAATATGTTCCCTCCTAATTCTCAAAGTCATGGTTTTCGACCTATTCCTCCCAGACCTGATGGCCTTAGATTTTCTTCAGCCCCACCTACGAATATGCCCGATATGAGTAAGCTAAATGTCTCCGAGTACAGCAATTATGCTCAAAATTCGCAAAGGTTCCCCCATCGAAATGGAGACGAGTTTAGTAGACCCAGGTCTAGTGAGTCACTAAATTCAGCTAGCCCATATGCACCTCATAAGGGCCATAATTTGCAGAGTGGCCAAGGGTTTCATCATGATTCTATGAACAACAGGTATCCTCGGGGTTCTGATTATCTGTCCTCTCAATCCTCCCCTGCTGTTGCAAACAACATTCCTAGTAATGGCATTTGGGGAACTCAAGGCTGCACACCATCTGAATATGTTCAAGGCCTTATTGGCGTTATTTTACTAGCCCTAAACACCTTGAAAGTTGAAAAAATTATGCCTACTGAAGCAAACATAACCGATTGCATTCGTTATGGTGATCTGAAACACCGCAATACCGATGTAAGGAAGGCCTTGGATTACGCAATAGAGCAACATATGGTAGTGAAGCAGAGCCTTGGTGCACTTCAGTTGTATGTTGGTAAAAATGAGCAATTATGGAAGTGTGTGAACCCTATAGGTGGTAATCTTAATCATTACTCTAAAGCCACATGGGATCAGATACAGAACTTTCTGAGTTCCTCAGATGGACGATCAGCAATAATGGCTTCTCAATGCAGGTAAGTGTTAATGATAGATTCTTAGTCAGATGCTTATGGTTCCTGGAATGTCGAGTTTTGACCATGGTTTTCTTCTCTGCAGATATGAAGCAGCAATGATTTTGA